ATGAGCACTGAGAGTTATACGCATGTGATTATAAAAAACGATGTCAAATCATGTTTATATAACACTGGGAAAATTATTTTGGATGATAGGATTTAGGGACATTATTCGAATTTTATTTTAATTTTCCTTCATTGATTTATTTTAAAAGTCTGTAACATTTTATGAAACCAGCAAAGTTGTAATTCTTTACTACAAAAAGATTAAACCAATAAAATACACTGGAATGAATCCTAGAAGTTGGGCTCAGTAAAGACATTTATTAAAAACCTCTCAGAGATAATCCATTAGGAGACTAGATTTGTTTAACAAGTACTTTTTAAACTCCTACTGTGTGATCAGGTAGGAAGAAGCATAATTAAAAACTGGTTTAGGTCAATGACCCCCAACTGAAGGAACTTACATTTCAGTTAGGGGAAAATGTGAGAAATTAATACAAAACAAGTAGAAGGACAGAATATAATTAAACATTTTTTTTTCAATGTTTACAACCCATTCTCTAAGTGCCCTGAAGACCATGGGATGATAATGTAGCCAGAGTTAGAACAGAAAGCTCCATAGGGGAAGTTTTAAATGAGTTCCATCTTTTGCTCAGGCCAGGAGAGAGGCTACTGATGAGGCAAGAAAACCCGTACTTCATGGGGCGCCTGGGTGGCTCAGTCGGTTAAAGCCTCGCCTTCGGCTCGGGTCATGATTCCGGGGTCCTGGGATCGAGCCCCACGTTGGGCTCTCTGCTCGGCAGGGAGCCTGCTTCCTCCCCTCTCTCTCTCTCTCTCTGCCTGCCTCTCTGCCTACTTGTGATCTCTGTCAAATTAATAAAATCTTTAAAAAAAAATAAAAAAAAGAAAAGAAAACCCGTACTTCAAATCCAATTTTCAGCTGTCACCAACCTTTCATCTCACCAGCTGCGGTTTCTACTGCCTGATTACTTGGTGATCTAATATTTACTATGATACTAATTTGCAAGCCCTCTGACAATAAAAGAGCCCAGTACATATTGTTAGCATTTGTTTGTATGCTTATCAGAACAGTGTTTCTACTATGTATGATGTAAAAATGGGTGACATACCTATTTTTATTTTAACATCATTAGAGAAGCAGTCTTTAGACCCATTATTTTATTCAATTGCACCCACTCACTCTGTTACCATGTCTATTCAATCAGAGAGCCACTCAGAGAAATAGTCTCATAATTTTCATACGTAAGCCTGGACAAGAATAACCAAACCAAAGAAAATAAACAAACAAACAAAAACCTATGTTTTTGTAGTAACAGGTTCCCATGCTTAGTGATAGATTTCTCGTAAAAGTTTCAAGATCACCATCAGAAGGACTAGAATGATTGAGGGATACAAATGTTCAATAATTTTTTTAGAAATATTTATTTATTTTACAGAGAGAGAGAGAGAGAGAGAGAGAGCAAGTGAGGAGAGGCCAGAGGGAGAGACTCTTCAAGCTGACTTCCCGCTGTGTCCATTGCCTGAGATCATGACCTGAGCTGAAACCAAGAGTTGGACGCTTACCCAGCTAAGCCACCCAGGCGCCCCCAGTAATTTTTTACTGTGTGTTCCTCACCCTCTCCAGGGAAGCTGGCATGTGAAGGGACCTGAAGGAGGTCTGTAGTGCATTCTTCCAGCAGTTTCCCCAGGGAAGCGCCCCAGGCCCTTGGCTACAATGCATGAGGTTCCAGACCCAAGTGAAATCGCTACCTGAATAAGGTGAGTAGCCTGCAATTTGACTGAGAATTGCCACAGACCAAAAGGAAGCACTTGGAGGACAACGAGAAGTATTTTATATCCTGTTAGGGAAATCTCACAATAAGGATGACAATTTAGACTTACACCCTAACCTCTGATTTTGACTGCATTTAGTTTCAGCCTTACCAATGTCAGTTAGAAAAGATTCCACCATTTGTTTTAACTCAGAATGATTTCAACAGGTTAGGAGTTCTATACAGGTACCTCTACCTAGAGAAGGCAATGATGGCTCAGAGCACATTTCTAAAACTGTATGAATTAAATGTCTGACTCTGATGGGGAGAATGCCAGGGAGAAACAGCTCTCCCTGTCTGGCTGGCTACTGGGTGTTGGCTGGTTCATCTTTCTTTGCTGTGTCTGCTGCTATGCAAGAATCACCCTTCCTAGGAGTACAGGACCATTTTTATTCAAGGGTGTGTAAGCATGCTTAAACCTACAGGATGCCTCATTCATCCAAACTTACCCCCCCTCAGTTACCTAAACACAATTCATTCACAACTCATTCAGCTCTTACTAAACGAGAGGGACATAATGGGTGCGGGGAGGACCTCAAAGACAGACAGGAAGGTCGCTGTACCCAAGGAATTACCAACTTAATGGCAAAGAGGGGAGAGCAAAATGTAAATAAATATGCCTCGAGGAATCTTAAATACCATCCCGATTTGAAAATGCTTCACAGCATTGAGATTCTTTTACTCTGTAAGATTCATAAGGTCACAGAACATCAAAAACCATACTTTCTAAAAGATATATGGGGTATTGTCTAGAAATGGTTACATTTAAGACTCTTTTTTTCATTTCATTTTTCCATTGTTTTCGCTTTTTATTTTACAGTGCTGGGCCTCTACTGAACGCTTCCTAAGCACCACGGACTTCCTCAGCACAGAATAAGTCACTCCTCCCGTTGCTTGCTGCTTAGGCATCGGTCCCATTGCTTTCTGGTAATCACCTTCAGCTTCTCTTGGCAGTTTTTTGGTTCTTTTTTTTTTTTTTAACCTTAATGGACTTATTTTAAGTCACATCTTCTTCCTCCATCTGCCTGATTTTACAGGATAGACAGGAAATCTTAAGAGTTGCTAGTTCGCCCTTCTCCATGTAACTAGAGAACCTGCATTTTAAGGAATGTGGTGGACTCGTCACGTGACAGAGGGTCTGCTGCTCCTCTGTGACGTTTGCAGGTCCACACTGAGGGCTGGATGATGTGACATTCAGAACCCCAAGGTAATGGTCTACACTCCGGAGCTAGCTATACCCTGGCTAGTGTCTTCGCCATGTCAGTTACAGAAAACCTCCCTGACACCCTCTGGGCCTCAATTTCTTCAGCTGAAAAATGGAAATAACTCTACTGTACATAATTGTAGCAGTACTAAATGAGATAATTTATCTCAAAAGACATAGACCACTGCATTAAATATGGGCAGTAAATATGATTTCACTTCTACATCCCTTCATTAAGGTAGCTTCATTATTCCATTACTTTGCAGTCTTTTTTTCTCTTAAAATTTAGGTTAAAATGAACACAGTGGTCTCCTTTATCAACTTTTTAATTTGCTAACAAGTCAGCTGAAATAATCTGACAATACAATTTTTAACATGTTAGATAGTTATTGCCACGCAGGGCTTCTAGGTTACGGTGGTTAGACGAGAAGAGTTCCTGACTAAAGACCTAACACGTGGCAGGATCCCGAGGAATAATACACACTCTTCTTGACTCCCAATCCTGAAGTTATCCAGGTAATTACATAGGGAGGACCCTGTGCCTTGAATTTGTTTTAAACTCATGATATGGCATTGATTTTACTGACATTGGTAGTAGGTCATTTTTAACTGAAGGTCACTGACTTTTAAATTACTTAGGGTATTATAACATGGCATTTTTTAGTACATTCTTTACATATCACTCTCCCATTACAGTTTTCTATTTTAGAAGCTACTCCTATTAAAGTACTTACTTTTCAACCCCCAAAAGACTAGAAAAAAACATAACAGCATATATGTAAGTGAGGTTATATACAAACACACTTTCATACATTTTGGGCTACCCAAAAAATTGTAAAATTATTTAGCTTTGGAAATAATGCAAAAGAGGTAATTATGCTACACACTAAGAATATAAAACAAAAATAAATTCTGCTTCCCTAAAGAGATCTTATCTAAGGATATATAAATCCTATTCAAAGACTTTTTATTGAAAGCATGCTCCCAGGGTTTAGCAAAATTCCTGGTATACAATAGGCAATCAGTAAACTTTTATATATAGTATATAGTAACCCTTTACTATATACATAGAGGGGGGGGAGGGAGAGAGAAAGAGAGATAGCGAGGGAGAAATTAAGTAAAACTCTCACTTGAATTTTATAAACAGATGAACTACATATCAGAATTACCCTCAGTTGCCAAGAAAGTAAGTGGCAGAACCAATAATAAAGTTCAGGTCAGTGACTTTTGAGTTTCTAACAACCATTTTACAAACGTTACAATGATCCAGTCATTATCATGACCCTTCCTCGGAGGTGGACCAACTGAGAGAGAGACGTGAAGCCATTAGGTCCACACATCCAGCAAGGCAGGTTCGGGAGAGAACTACAATGTTCAGCTCTGGACTGGTTTATTTTTGTCTCGAATTCTCATGTTACGCTTTCCCTGAATGCTGCTGTTGAGTTCCTGAGGCAAATGACCAGGAAGGAAATCAGCAGAAGAAAACCTGGTGTGGACTTACAGGACCCGGGTACTGTGCCTCCTATACTTCTCAGCAATTTTACACTGTTCTTCCGACAAGCACTACTGAATATTTCAAGCAGCACAGATGAAAAGCAAAGCAGAGCAGCTTTACGGCAACAGACCCCAGTGACAATGTCCTTGATGGCTGAATGAACTCTTTCCCAAAAGTTGCATTTTTTCCTCTAATGCAGTATATTCTGATAAACTGAAACCCAGTTGCAGCAACAAAATATGGCACGGTAGATAAAACCATGACTTGGCCGATCATTTCTTGACTACACTGATCACTTTAAATCTCCTATCTGTACCCAATAATATCACTTATAAATTCAGCAATATGCTTAAGCCCAATCTATTGGAACTGTATTTTCTTATTTGGTATCTTTTTTGGTTTAGATAAACTGGAAAGATTGTTAAGTTTCCCTGTTTAACCATTAAAAAAATGGTCTAAGAATTTTCCATCATTTCATTGAAAAAGATATAAATCTCTAAAATGTGAAATGTCATAGTCTATTGAACACTCACCCAAACCAGACTTTTTTAATCGTTTTAAGTGCTGACTTGTTTGTTTTCCAGTGGGAGATTTCTGCCCATGTTTCATTTCTTTATCTGAACTGTCTGCTTCACCATTTTTAGATTCGGATCCTAAAAAAGGAAATAGTTATTATGTCATTATCTTCCTCTTGCTGTCCTTGAAAAGAAAAAAATCTAAAATTATTTCAAAAACCATAGATATAATCTCCTTTTCTGTAAGTTAATTCACTACCTTTGGCCACAATCTGATTCCTCTGCTGGATATAAAGAGAAAAGCCCAATAAATCAATCAAACAGAACAAAAAGCAAGAACAGATGGCCTAATAGTGAAGTCAAAAACACTTTCACTGATCTGATAGCTTTTAAAAGAAACACTCAGATCCTTTGTAAAAACACACGGATAAGCTTCGACAATTCTATACCATTTAGAGACGATGCAAGACAGAGACAGAAACATGAAGGAAGAGGAGAAGCTTGGAGACCAGGAAAGATTATACCTTTCTAAATAACTTAACATTGAAAAAGGACCAGAAAATGCAAACATCAATCTATAATAAACAGAATGGTACACAGCTGATAAAGTGACAGAAGGTAAATTAGAAGAAAAGGTCAGGGTTGCACTGAGGTGAGAAGAATGTTCCCAGAACACAGAAACTAATAAAGGATGGCTGATTTTTGCAGCAGAAGACTGAAAAACAAATTCACACTCACGGACGAACTGCTTTTGATGGCATTACACATCAGCATGTGGTCCACCATTAAAGTTCAACATTCAAACAAAAGCCAAAGCAGCAACAACAAAAAATCCACGGAGCAGTACCACACATTTCCTTACACCTACTGACAGTAGCAAATGAAGTCCTTTGATGATGAGCATGCTGGTGCCTTTTATTCTCTTGAGAGCGAAATGCCCTATTAGTTTGGACTCACTGAAAGAGGCAAAAGTATATAAAAAAAAAAAATTTAAACCGAAACCTCAAGTAGAAATATTATCCGGTTGCAGAGAAAAGTCGTGACATCTCTCTCAGTGAAGAAGTCTCCTCCGGGAAGAAACTGGCCAAGCATATAGTATTTTAGCTATTTACCTGAAGGCGAATCCGACTGCTCATCAGACACCTTTAATGGTGTCAAAACAACACGAGGAACAGTCTTGTTTACCATCATTGAGACTCCATTTCTTCTCTTCTGCTGCTGCCTCAAAGCCTACAAAACATGATAATAAAATGTAACATAAAAATATAGCCAACATGATTTCTCCTAATTGAATTAAATGATCCATTCGCCCATTAGATACAACCTCTTAAGAGACTTAAATTCCACAGAGTCACTAATTTGTCCTGATTCTCAATAGTCATCTTCATGTCATTTTCCCTCAAAAGCAGACGGTCGGGCATTGGCAAAGGGCAGCTACCTGAGCCCATTTGGAGTATAATTCTGAAAACAAAGCAGCGCTTAAAGGTCTGTTCTACCTTAGCCGTGCGGCCTGGGAGCCCATGCAACTTGAAACCATGACTCCCAAGTGAAAGAAATGTAAAATAAGTGTTTCGAGACCGGGATAAAAATAGATGTGTCTGCACTTCTTTTGCAGGTGCGTCCTCTCCAGTGCACTCCTCGGTCAATCAAGTTAACACCGAGTGTCGTCAGTATGTACGGCAGGTAAGGACTACGGTATTGACGCACTCGCTCAGCCGTGGGGAGCGCTGCACAGAATCACTGAACATGGCAGGAATCATTTATTTCTGTGAAGGGAATCAGTCCTAATCTTGGAAACCTTGCAGCACTTGGCTTCTGTCTGCTTGACTTTGGGCATTAACCTTCAGAACACGAACATGACGGTGTTCTGGCAAATCCAGGAAGGAAAAAAAAAAAAAAAATGGAGACGAGAATAAACCTCTCCAAATGGGAGTGCTTTGTGTTTCATAAATGAATCAACTACGGTGATGATAATGTAATAAAAGACATTTAAAAGTTCTGAAATACAGCTTATCCGGCGGATCGCTTTACACAGAAAATTACCTGTAATAAAAAGGGTCTTCAGCACGTGAAACTGAAGAGATGTTAAATTCACAGTTACAGGGATGCTAAAACTCCTCGGAAGGTTAAAAGGCCGACCACAGACAGCCTCAGGCATTTTTATTCCTGGCGTTTGTGTCATTTCGACCAATTTTATAACAACTCAGTTAGCTGATTAATGTTCTTCGACTAGAAGTTGTCACAACCGCCTAAAATACTGCCTTGCCCGTTTATCCCCTGCTGTCAGAAGCACTGTCATTTTATTTGCAAAGGGTATAAGTTGAATGTCCAACTTGCACATCGTAAGATTTAGCAATCAAATAATTACAGAAGTAAAAAATTAAATGCTATTTATATGTGAGAAGGCCTATTCAGATGAGATTTAGAATTGGATGGAAAAGTGGATGGCTTGGGAAATCCATTACAAATGATACTGTTGGCTAAGGATAACACAGCGACTTCCCTTCAGTTCTGACATCTGCCGAGCTTTTATAAAGTAGCAGGCACTGGGTGGGGGACAAGGGTTACAAAAATGAACAAAATGCCCTCCTCCTTGCCTTCAGCTTGCTGTCAATAATGTATTTAATGAGCGCATGCGTGCTATCAAATATTTAAGACATCTACCCTTTCTTTCCTCCAGGTGTACACAACTGCATTAAATCTCCATAGCCTGGTGAAGAGCTCAGAGCACTTTATAGACATTAACCCATCAGTCCAACAATAAAACAGAACGAGGCAACACGGTGCCTTATATTACGATTAAGTCCATTTTTGCCCACTCCGTAAGACAATAAAACTTGCACAAAGAATGATTAACTTTTAGGAGGCTATACATCATGCTCATCAACCTCTTCCCTTGGCAATCCAAGTGGGTATTTTAAGAGCATTCATTTTATGTTAGGGTGGGTAGGTACATATTTGAAAATACTGGTTAAGAAAAAAAGTGGTAAAATAACAAAGGGCATACTTAGAACCTGGAATCATAAAGATGACAAGTCTTTTTATAGCATTTGTGGTAAATAATTATTAAAGTGATAAAAATTCTGTCCTCAACTTTTACAGCTGGGAGGACTGTACTATAGACAAATTAGTAGTTGGACAGAAAGAAACCATGACAGAGATGAGATAATAATAATAATAATAATAATAATAATAATACAAGACGCCTGGGTGGCTCAGTGGGTTAAGGCCTCTGCCTTCGGCTCAGGTCATGACTCAGGGTCCTGGGATTGATTCCTGCATCGGGCTCTCTGCTCAGCAGGGAGACTGCTTTACCCTCTCTCTCTCTGCCTGCCTCTCTGCCTTCTTGTAATCTCTCTCTGTCAAACAAATAAATAAAATCTTTAAAATAATAATAATAATAATAATAATAATAATGGCAACAACAACCCATAGCATCAAGGTGGAGCCAAGGTAGGGATAGAGGAACACTAATCAATATAGAGACCATTCAATGATATTTTTCTAAATATGTATTTCCTGCTCAGAAACTTGGACAACAATTTTTAAATACAGTATTTTTATTTTTTTAAAAATATTTATTTATTTATTTGACAGAGAGAGATCACAAGTAGGCAAAGGCAGGCAGAGAGAGAGAGGAGGAAGCAGGCTCCCCGGTGAGCAGAAAGCCTGATGTGGGGCTTGATCCCAGGACCCTGGGATCATGATCTGAGCCGAAGGCAGAGGCTTTAACCCACTGAGGCATCCAGGCGCCCCTAAATACAGTATTTTTTAAATGCTAAAATGAAGCAACGTATCCATAGGTGACCAAAACTAAATGCCCACCATATAAAAAAAATTGTCTTAAGTGTATTTAAAATATGCATACCTTTCTGTTTTACTTCTGAAAAACATGCACTCCATTTGACCCTGAATAACATTTCTAGGGGCGGACAGCAAAAGCTGGGAGGTCGTTTTTTTTTCCTGTGAGGCTAGTCAGAGCAGTTCAAGTAGAGAGCTGCTCGGCAAACCTGAGGAGCATCCCAGGCCAGTTATCTGAAGGGGCATCTCGATCACAGTTAGTGATCCACAGTTACTCCAGGCTAACCTGAGGATTCCAGTTCACTTCCCAGAAAGCAGGATTTATCTGACTCTGGAGACAAGGGACAGCTTCCAAGCAGATCAGAATGTGGGTGGAGGTGGAGAAAACAATGCACAGGAGCTAAGCTGTCTGGGACAGAGTGGGCTCCGCACAAGAGAATTCTGGCACCTGCCGTGTGCGTGAGGCAGGCGGTACAGTGGCCCATGCGTTCTAGTGATTCCTGTTCTCTTGCTGGAGGGTGTTCCTCCTGCAAGTAAAGAAGCTAACTGTCCATGGGGTTTTGGGTTGTCTAACTCGATTTCTGCAATTAGGTGCACATCAATCACTCGAACATATGCTGCAGGTCTCCTCACAATCCCCTGAGAAATGGGCAATGTTTTTCTGGACATTGGGGTGAGACAATGAAAGAGGGGGAGGCTGAAGTAATTGAGGAAAGCACACACCCCATGGGGGGAGGCAGTTAGTACTCAAGAGATGCAACACCACTGGATTTTAAGGTGATTTTTCCTGTTTTTTTTTTTTTTTTAAGATTTTATTTATTTATTTGACAGACAGAGATCACAAGTTGGCAGAGAGGCAGGCAGAGAGAGAGGAGGAAGCAGGCTCTCCACTGAGCAGAGAGCCCGATGTGGGGCTCGATCCCAGGACCCTGGGATCATGACCCGAGCCGAAGGCAGAGGCTTAACCCACTGAGCCACCCAGGCACCCTGATTTTTCCTGTTTTTAAACAAAGTACCAAGCAAAACAAAGAGGACTCTGAGCTAAATTCAGCCTGAGGGCACCAATCTCTGAGACCTTCTACACACCATTCCCAATGTTCCTCACCTCCCCAAATAAATGGGTCTGACCACTGCCCAACAGGTGTTAAAACCCCCCTCTTCTAATGTGCTGATCTGCAAAAGATTGGGGACCGGTGCAGAGGCATCTTAATAACTGTGTGAGGTGATGGGTAAGGGTAAGGTTGCAGAGTCAGAGAAAGAAGGAACTAAGCAGCTGAGCATGCTGGGTAAATTACTTGGCTAAAATCTCGCTATGAAACAAATACAATAGTGTTGGTAAGATATTTTAAATAGGAAATCCATAGAATAGTATTTAATACTATTTGTAGCATATCGTGAATATCCAATAAATGTTACTTCTTATATAATTGACCCATTCCGCAATGAGTGCGTTTTTTGGAGGCCTTACTCTGTTGTAGTACACTGCAGATCCATGGCAACGAACAAGACCAAAAAAAAAAAAAAAGACTTTTATTTTACATTTTAGCAAAAGACTGACAAGGAACCACATAAAATAAGCACAATAATTTTACACACATACAAGCACTAAGAAAATTATGCCAAGACGAGGAGGTAGAGTAACTGGGGTGGGAAGAAAATCTCTTGAGAGGTGACAGTGGAGATGAAACCCAAATGACAAAGAACTGGCCACATGACAATGGTAGACTCTCCAGTCAGGGAAAGAGACAGTATTAAGACCTCTATCAGGAAAGGTCTTTGGTGGTTCAAGGAATAAATAGCTGGGGTAGCTCAGAAGAAGGACTAGGAAGATTACAGAAACGGCAAAGAATTCCCTGAAATGACTGCCGTGGGTTTATTAGGAACAGGAGATTTATGTTCAAAGCAAAGGCAGCTCTATAAGCCCAGTCTCTCCCCACAGCCTACAGGGAGCACTCTAGCACTTCTGCCCCAAAGACGCCGCAGAGGCCCAGCAAAGAGAAAGCACCATGTGTCTTCTACCAAAAAAGCGTCCTTCGCCTTCATGCACTGCTTCAGGATACATTTTCAGGCTCCACTGCATGAAGTATGTTGCATCTCACACCTTGGAAAGGCTTCTTAATAGTTCTGAGCATTTGGAGCAATTTCGGAAGGGTGTTCTGGAACACTCTGGGAAGCCCTCTGCCTCAGAGCCTCTGCCTGAATTCTCTTCTATGCGTGCCGCGCTCTTCCCTCAGATGACCCCATGGCTCACCTCCTCATACACTTGACACTTGACTCATGGCCTTAGCCCATCTGGGCTGCTCTATCAAAATACCCCAGGATGGATAACCTGTAAAGCACAGAAATTCATTCTCCGCAGTCTGGAGGCTGGAGGCCTGAGATTACAGTGCCAGTGTGATCGTGAGAGGCCCCCTCTGGATTGCGGGCTT